TAGTGATAAAGCTTTAATAGAAAAAAGCTGAGGTCTAAATGCTTTTCTTGAGATATCCCAATCTGGTACCCATTTAAATGAAAGACCAGTTGGATTGACTCGTCCGATACTGCAGGTGATAAAAAAGAAGATTTCTTCTGAGGTTCAAGTGAAGTAAGAAGACTATTCCAATCAGACAGATCCCTTTTGAGAAAAGGTTGTTTTTATTTTTGGATTTTTGTTGATGGGTCTTGAATTATCCCCTTTTTTCAATCGTTTTTCCCTTTTTCCTTTTTAACTTAGCAATTCATTGGTTTTCGGGCAATCAACAGTAACAAACTGTTGGCAATGATCTTGGTAGATAGAAGTTATTACCAATCTATTGGGAGAGTATAATATTGTTCTCAAAATCTGACTTAGAGTACCTTTGTATAAAGACGAATTGATTATATTGTGAAAGTCTGTAAAATATTGTAGATTTATTTCAATTTTTTAATAAAGACAAGCCATCGTGGTATAATTGCATGTTAAAATAAAATAAAATAAAATTTAATTAAATTTATATATAATTAATTAAATACTATTAATATTTTTCTGATTTTAAACTTTTTATACTATATTTTATCTTTAATATAAGATTTAAATTTTATAAATAGATTTTAAATAATATTTATAAAAATTTTTATAAATACATTAATTTTATTATAGTTCTATTGAATTTAAGACCTATAGATTAATAGTATAATAGTTAGCACTATATAAATTAGATCATAAGATGCTAGTTTAAATTCTTCAGGGGACCAATGTAATTCCCTTGATTACAAAGCAGGTAGAATTTAACCATCTATTGACCTAATTATATATAATCAATGTTTCTAAGTATAGTAATAATATAGGATAGTCTATATAAAGATTGTGATTTAGTTACTATCTAAAATTGAGTAGGATTATCCTTGATAAGATTATATTACTATTTATTGGTAACAAGAAGAGTAGATCTTCAAACCAGTTATATTTTATTGAGAAAAGACTGATTAAAAATCTTATCTAATTTCAAGACTTCAAGCATATAGGTATACCTAATCTTATAGACTTAACAATTGGAAGGTCTTGATAGAAGGAGAAATCCAGACTACTCCAAAGGATCAAAATCTAGATCCAGGATAAAAAAAATTCAGTGGCTTGATAATCAGACTATTCTTAATAAAACTGGTCTAGAAACAATTAAGAAAGAATTACATGATTTTCTGATGAAATAGTACTTATATATACAGTAGTTAGTAAATATAGATAGCTACTTATGTATATAGATTACTAATATAAGTAGATGCATGAATACTTGTTAGTATATATGTAGTTTACCTATATATAAAGAGTAATATAAGTAGCTAAGTCAAGATAGTTGCCTTGCACAAGTATATAGATATATTACTAATAAAAATCATGGTCAATTCATACATTCAGTAAACAGATACATGAACAAAACCATCCAAAACATAACAACACCCTGCACCATCTTGGAATTTTCATACAGCACTAACCCAGCCTTGGCATGTTAGCACTCTCTAAAATGAGGTGGCAACAAGCCACAGTCACAAGACTGCTTCTTTATCGAACTATATTTGGTAAGCATAGGTAGCTATAGCATCACATGTACATACCTACTACATTTCAAATAAAGTAAGGCTGAGCCAGTGTTTAAAAAAAAAAAAAAGTTCAAGCTAATACTGTATATACTGTATTTTTTAAAATAAATAATGAGAGCGTAACAAAATAAAATCTTAATTGCTAAGAACAAAAAAAACAATCAATTTCTTCTTCAAACTCAATTACTGAAACAAGAAAAATTTACTAAGGAACACGTTTATAAGAAACCAAAGTTTGTCTTAATGTGTTTATAATAGGTAAAAAAAAAAAGAATTATCAAAATGCATTCAAAAAGGCACGCTTATAAGAAAGCAATTTCATCATGCTTTTAAAAATTAACAGCACGAGCCTGTATGCGTTATAGGCGGGAATTATTCTTATCTGACCAGAGAAATGGTTTTTTTTCATACAGAATAGTAGCAATAATAACGCCTTGTAAATACATGCATTCAAATGTAGCTTGCGCGTGTAAACTTTTTCTGTGAATATTACGCGTACAATCGGTATTAAAAATTTTTATCATTATCGTTATGTTTTCTGGCAAATTTACGTCATGTGAGGTTATGATTTATTTAGAGCTAATGTAATGAAATCGTGCCTATTCCCTAATTAGGAAACAAAAGCAGTGTCTCGACGTGATTTGTAAAGAACATTAACTACAATGTTATATACCGCGCGTCAAGATCCGTTGAAATAATAATATATTATACTTGAGTATTATAGGACATACTTGAAGTAAATTTAGCTACTACATTCTTTCGAGCAAAATATAGATTTCCATGCCGAAAACTTTGAAAACTTACATATAAGAGTGCAAATAATTCCTTTTTGCTTGATGGTTTTTGTAGCTACTTTCTAATAAAAAAGAAAATTTACAACATATAAAATGGTTATAAAACGTCAATATTTCCTTTTTTTGGTGACCGCTTATATACTTTTGAATATCTTTATATATTGGCTTCCGTCTAAATGGTGTCAAAATTCCCATGCATATACGGATAATAACTCGATTAAAGATAATTTACCGTCATTCGTTATTGAACCTTCTCTCGGAGACAAGTTTCTTTTTCCTTATAATGTACGCAGATCTTCATGTCTTTAACGTTTTGCGAAAAGTTTAGTTACCTTTGTTCTAATATAGTTGCCTGAGCAAGAAACGAAGGCAAACCTACATGTTCGAACTTTTATCCAACTTGCCCGCTCATTGAACCGCATAATGGTTCTCCCGAATGTTGGAGGTTCGAGAGTTCAAGCATGTCGCCCATTTTCTGTGTCATTCTATTATTGTGACGAATCGCTTCGCATAATGTTTCCCGACGTAAAATTCATAACACAAACAGAATTTGAATCTTGGATAAAAAGCCAAAAGCAATCTGGCCACTTAGCACTAGCAGAACACATTACAATCAAAGAAATTGGTACTGAAGCAGTATTTCATACTCTAGATGATTTGGAACTTAACACTTACGAAGGGTGTGTCATGAAATTTAAAGTAAACATCACAAAATTCTCAATAATTAAAACCGGACTCAACTACAGCAAAACTGTCGAAGATCGGATCCGATTTTCTAAGTTTCTCGTAAAAAACCTTCGATCGCCCGTTCAAATTCTTTTAATTTCTAACAATGCCGAAAAGGCAATGTTTCCAAAACTATATGCTCCTATACCATATGCAGCTCACATTATTAGTGAAGCTTCCAAAATATCAAAAATAATGAGGCCATATATTGGGATTCATTGGCGCATGGAACAAGGCGTCCCCGAAAAAATGGCAGAATGCGCTAATAGACTGGTCGAGATGGTTTCAAAAATTAAAAAATCGACTGGAATTGAGAATGTATATCTGGCAACTGATTATGCGATTAATGATGATGGCAAGTCATTATCTGAAAGCTTTCAAATTACAGAGCATCATAAGTATGCAATGAACTATTTACTTTCTAAAATTGAAATTAAGACTTGGCTTAGCTTAGATGCATTCTCGGAGCTCAGACATCAAAGCTTTAAGAATAATGAAGATGGAGAAGAGCGTATAAGTGAAATCAAAACTGAATTTGAAGGGCCCGGGATACATGGCATATTAGATAAGTTGGTTTGCATAAATGCAAATTATTTCTTGAGTGGCTCCAAAGGTTGTTGTCGCGTAGAAAGCACTTTTACTAAGAGAATTACGGAAGAGAGGAAAGAATTAATGAGTAAAGGTAACCCCGATATTATGAACATTATTACAAGGTGGTAAATTTGTCACGAGGTGGCAGTCATGTAATTCTTTAATTATACTTCAAACAGTTTTTATTAATTGTACATATTATACAAAAGGCTTTAATAAAAATTATAGGACCAAGTCATTTTATACAGTATTTTAACCTATTTAGCAATAATAATTGGATCTATCTAATTATTACTATCTACTGTAAAGTGTGATGGATTGAAATTTAATTATTGCCGCAAAATGAAATAATGATATTGTTTGTCTATTTTACATGTTTAAAATATAACTAAATATCTATTTTATTGATAAAATTTAAATTAGTAAATAATTTATAAATTATTAATTTATTTGATATTTTCAATTTCAATTTCAATATTTTATTTAATAAATAAATAAATAAATATTTTTATTCACATTATATCATTATAGCATGTCTTTATTAAGATATTAAATAGATACTTCAATATTACATTGATTTTTATCAATAACCAACTTTTTTTTTTCACATTGCCTATAACCAGGCTATATTGTAATTTATTAATTATTTAAAAACATAAACATAAGTACATTTTTATTTGAGCAACATGATATATATTATAGTTAAATATTTCTAATCAAATCTAAGTAACTTGTTATAAGTATAAAACTTCTAAGTTTGATTTTATAAACAATATTTTACTTCATAATAAACTTTAGATAAATATTTTTCTAGTCTATGTATTATTGTTAATAGATTATTAATTACTATTATATATTTTATTAAAATACTGAAATATAAGAAACTACATAAGGGTTGGATTAAAAAAAAAAAATGAAGTATATCAAAAACATTCAAATATAGCAAAAGAAAAAACAAAAGAAAAGAAAAGATAAAATATTATTATTAAATTTCTTTTAAAGATCCACTACTCAAAAAAAATTTTAAATAAGAAATATTCTATTATGATATTTTTTTAACTATTTAAGAAACTTATTTATTTTCAATTTTGATTTTCTTCTTATATATTTTATAAAAAGACTTATTATCTACTAGAAATCTCTACTTTTAAAAACATATCTAGTTTCAATCTTATTTAAGCTATGATTTTATATTTATATATAATAGATAAATAGCTTTTATAAATTCTAAGTTCTTATATAAGTCAATATAAATTGAGTTATAGAATTTTAATATAATATCTTTTAATAACTATATTTAATTAAATAAATTTTATTAATAATTATCTTTTATTATTTAAAAGGTCAAAATTTTTAACAACCTTTTTATTTTATAATAATAGAAGCATTTAGACAATAATAGAAATTCTTACTGTATTAATTACAATATTTTTTATAACTTTTTTTTTTTTTTTTTTAAACCACAATTGATATTAGATGTAAGCTTTATTTAAAAATTAATTTAATTTAACAGATAATTAAATTCTACAGCAGTTACATCAATCATCTTTTACAAATCATATATTTCTATATCTATACAGTTTAATGATAACCTATCACAGTTTGTCCTAGATAGACCTGCAACTACTCTGTGAGTGAACAGACCTAGCTAGGGACCGGAGATTAATACACAATTATCAATGGCTAGTCTAGGCTAATTAGTATTGAGCTTACAAATTTTTTTATTGTTTCACTAAGCTAGTCTATAATTATGTGTACCCGATAGAATATATAACACCCTCCAATATTTCCGGATATATTATTCACTCAAATCTTGGAAGAAGGTACTTTCCTTCTTTTTATCACCTGTGGCATTAGATCAGTCCCTTATTGACTGATTTTCAATTAAGTGGAGTATCAAATTGGGATATTCTGAACTAGGAAAGTGGGGGTCCTGGAGGTTACCAGGTCAAAGTGAGCTTGGAACGTTTTTGTGTGAGGCTAGACCAGAAGCCTTTCTTCATGCAGTCCTTCCAGTAGTACGACCATAAATCTCAGCCCTGATCGATGAAAGGCCAGAAGTCCCATCTTTATGCAGCCTAACCAGATTAGAACTTGTTCTGGATAATTGGGTATGACTTTCATAGAATAACCAATGAAACCTGATCAGAAGAATAATTTTTGATTTTGGTTCTTAAGTAGTATTGAACTATAGACCTTGTGATTGCGACCTGGGAACACTACCACTGTGCTATTGACCCACAGATCTATTTTTTATAACTTTTAAAAAAATATATTTTTAATTGTAACTAAAGAATTGAAACTTAGTATAAATTAGAAATTACTTAATTTTACTATTTAATCAAAATAAAAAAATTATCTTGATCTTGTATTTTGTTTAATTGAAATAATAAAAAGGAAAATTTTAATTGGAATAAATAATAGCTTTTTTAATATTTAATAATTTATTATTTAAATTTTATTAATTTTATAGAACTTAAAATATAAATTAATTTAATTAAAGAAGCAAAATAAAATTAAAATGTTATTTAATTCTTTTTTTTATTAATAATATTATCAAAATTTATAAGTATAATCAATAAAAGCTTGTTTATATTTTTTAAATTAATATATTTTATAATGGCTAATTATCTTTAGTAATAATTCAATATTTAAATAAAAAATTTTTAACTAGTTATGACTATTAAAAAATATCAGAAATTACATAATATATTTATAAGTTTATATACTGTAAAAACTTGGGATCTATTATAAGTTATTAACTTATATAAGTAAATACAAAATCAATATTAAAAAAAAAAGTATTTAACAGAAAACTGGATTTAAGTAGATAATAAGTACAGTATATCAAGTGACTACAAAAAAATAATTGGAATTATAGATGAATAAGTTCTTTATACAATTAGAAAAAAAAATTTTTTAAAAGAATTAATTCTTAATAAAAAAGATTTTAGTAGAGATTTTTTAAAAAATATGAAATACTTTTATTTTTATTTTTATATAAATACACTTATGCATTTTTGGATTTTTTTTTTTGTTTTTTTCTTTTTTTATTATAATTTCTTGAAACAATAATATATAAATTAGAAAAATATTTATCTAAAATTTATTATAGAATAAAATATTGTTTTAAAAGTTGTATATAAAGGCTAAAACTTTTTTGAAAATTAATAACTATTAATAAGTGAGTTAGTATAAGATTTAGTTTAGTTATAATACAATTATTCTATATATCTTTATTAATCTTCTTAATAATTAATAAATATATAATGCTAGTCTATTAAATGATTTCTTTTCAAAAAAGTTTTAATTAATTGAAATATTTTTTATGTTTTACTTAAGTCTTGAAATTAATTTTGTTTTTGTTACTATCTATAGCATTATAGACAAATTCATTATTTAAACAAGCATCAAACTGAGATATCTCAAGAAAAATGAAAGATCTCAACTCTTTTTTTAAAAAAAAATCTTTTTATTACTTAAAAAACTTAAATAAAGAGAGGAGTTAAACTAATTACATTATCCTTGTAATATCTTTAATATTATTATTATTTTATTAAAAAATTTGTTTAATTGATAGGAAAAAAATTTTAGAACTTTTTTTTTAATATTATCATTAATGTTATAAAATCACATGATTATGATTAATAGAAGCTTATTTATTTTTTAATAACCAATGTTTTTATATTAGTTAATTATATTTAACAAAGATTTTTATAATCCAAAATTTAGAGTTAAACTGAAGTAGGCAAAATTTTCAAAAAACTGTAAAAGTGAAAGCTTTAAAAGGATCAAAACAATTTAAATAAGAGAAAATAGATCTTTTAATAGTAACAAATCTCTATAAACCATTCGTTTCAAAAATTAGAAAAACTTTTAGATACTTTGCAATTAGTTCTTCTTTCTTTAAAACTTTTTTTATATTTATATACTATAAAAGGTATTATAGTACTTGACTTTTTTTAATCATTAAAAGTTAAGTTTTTGAGTAAAAAAATTTGTAAACAATAGAAGAAAAGTAAAAATGACTCTTGAAGTTATACTTTAAGTTGTTTAAAAAAAGTATTAAGACTTTATTAATAAGAAAATATAAAAACTTCTTGCAAATATCTTTTTTGTATGATTAGAAGATTAATAAAAAAAAAATTATTTATTTATTTATTTAATTATATAGTAATATATAGTTTTTTTTTTTTTTAACCTACAATCATATCACAATAGCATGTCTTTATTAAGATATTGAAAAATATTACAATATTTATAGACTTTCACAAAATAATTAACTCGTTGTTGTATATTATTAGTTGAAGAACTATATTACTTAAAAAATATGAGAAGTCCACTAAGCTAGTTTTGACTAAACAAAATTAAGTCTAAACTAGGTACTCTAAGTCAGATTTAAAGAACAATATTATGTTCTCTTAGTAGCTTGGTATGGAGCCTTTAAGTTAATCAGAGTCATTACCACCAATTTGTTACTATTAATTATCCTCAAAAATGATGAATTGCTAAAGTTGACATTGGAAAAAAGGAGATACAATTCAAAGCTTTTCAAAAGGTTCTTGTTTCATTTCACAGTTTTTTCTCAAAAGGGTTTACTTGATTGGGATATTCTCTAAGCTTAATAATATTTGAAAAACTTAACCATTCCTGAAAGTGACTTCAAGAAGAATATTTAAGAAACTTATTCTTTTGCTAATGTATGAATTCACTTAATACTATTGGAGCCAGCACTATATTACAAAAGAATTTGCTTAACTAGGATAAAGAAATCTTTTCAAGAACTTTGCCTAACTAGGATAGAAGCTTAAAGATCTCAGCTTTTGTTCAAAAAAGTCTTTTTACTACTTAAGAAACTTAATAAGAAATAGGAGTTGGATTTTCTATTCCTATCTATTATTCCCTTTTCAGTATAATAATTGTTTC